CTGTTTTCCTTCGTTCTATCAGTTCTTTTAGGGTACAATATCCAGTTTCAATAAGTTCAATGACCCCCGAAATCGCCACGTTAGGAATTTTAAGATAAATGTTTTGCCAGAGTGTCCAAGAGGGATGACAGTATTAGGTGTAAAGTAAAAAATCCTGTAATTTCACTAAAAGGTAGGCCAAACTGAGTATCTGGGGTATTGGTAATATTACTTTTGATGTTCTTAAACTAAAATATTTATATTTAGGAAAATTGTCATAATAGAGTAGCCCGTCAAAGCCTTCCATAAACGACATCATCAATGTGATCATTATATTCTTTACAAGTATGTTCTCACCAGCAACTTCATATTGACATGTGCCAATATACATTTTAATACCATCGAATTGATCTGTAAAAATGGTAGATTAAATAAATAGGCTTTTTATGGAAATATAAAAGCAATACATCAATGACTATTAATATTTTTTGTCATCCATATTTGACAATTTCCCGTGTTCAAATAGGCTATTTAAATGTATTTTCTACACCGCGCGCAGCTATTGTCTACGCGCGTTCTAACAGAAAGACAACATTTAAGTTGTCTTTTCAAGGGTACAAAATAGGCTAATGTTAATTGAGTAACTCTAAAGCCAGTGGGATACATATTTTCTGCGTAAATAAGAGAACTATGATAGTGCTTACGTTCGATCTCCCCGCTGTGCTCTCTTTTCTCCTAGGTGACCTCACGGGGTTGGAGAGGTGGAGGTAAAGACAAAAGAATTGGAACATCAGGTGCGTCTGGTGCCTTCCAACTAGTGGCTGTTGTCTTCAAGTGCGTCATGTGGAGCATTAATTCGTTCAAATACCCTTACAAGGGCACACGTTTCAGAATAACCTTTTGTCATTAGAAAAAACGAAACAATCCTCAAAACGGTAAATACACATTTCCAAAATCCGGAGAGGGAGTAGCACGTCTTCAACATCAATTTGGTCAAACCTCTTCTGTAGTTGCTATTAGCAAGGCTACTGGCACTAGCAGCAAGCATAGGCCTATGTGTTATTGGTATTATGTAGGCTACATATGCATATTCTAAATATCACGGAGGCCTTAATAACAGTGTCAATATTTAAATGTCCATTTAGCCTGTAAATGTGCATTATGCCCTCAGGTCCCGCGTCAACGTTTCACCTCTTGCCATGGTGGGCGAGCTAATACGGTTCTAGCGCACCTCGGCACCTGGGTGGGTGGTGTTTGGGACGACACAAAGAAAAGAAAATGCTTACAAAACAATAAATTATAGGCCTACATTATTCACCAAATCGATGAAGAGGGTACTTACACTTTATATACTGAACAAAAATTTAAATGCAACAGTGTATGTAAAGTGTTGGTCCCATGTTTCATGAGCTGAAATAACAAAATCCCAGACATTTTCCATATGCACAAAAAGCTTATTTCTCTCAAATTTTGTGCACAAATTTGTTTATATCCCTGTTAGTGAGCATTCCTCCTTTGACAGGTGTAGCATATCAAGAAGTTGATTAAACAGTATGATCATTACACAGGTGCATCTTGTGCGGGGACAATAAAAGGCCACTTTAAAATGTGCAGTTTTGTCACACAACACACTGCCACAGATGTCTCAAGTTTTGAGGGAGCGTGCAATTGGCATGCTGACTGCAGGAATGTCCACCAGAGCTGTTGCAAAAAACAAATTCTGATTGGCTGGCCCTGGCTGCCAAGTGGGTGGGCCTATGCCCTCTCTGGCCCACTCATGGCTGCATCCCTGCCAAGTCATGTAAAATCCATAGATTAGGGCCTCATTTATTTATTTAAATTGACTGATTTCCTAATATGAACTGTAACTCAGTAAAATCTTAGAAATTGTTCCATGTTGCATTTATATTTTTGTTCAGTATATATACAAAAGTATGTGTACACCCTTTCAAATTAGTGGATTCAGCTATTTCAGCCACACCCATTGCTGACAGGAGCATACAATCGAGCACACAGCCATGCACTCGCCATGGACATAACATTGGCAGTAGAATGGCCTTACTGAAGAGCTCAGTGACTTTCAACGTGGCACCGTCATAGGATGCCACATTTCCAAGAAGTCAGTTCGTCAAATTTCTACCCCGCTAGAACTTCCACGGTCAACTGTAAGTGCTGTTATTGTGAAGTGGAAACGTCTAGGAGCAACAACGCCTCTGCCGCGAAGTGGTAGGCCACACAAGCTCACAGAACGGGACCGTTGAGTGCTGAAGCGTTTAGCGTGTAAACATCTTCTGTCCTCAGTTGCAACACTCACTAGCGAGTTCCAAACTGTCTCTTGAAGTAACGTCAGCACAATAACTTTTTGTTGGAAGCTTCATGAAATGGGTTTCCATGGCCGAGCAGCCGCACACAAGCTTAAGATCACCATTTGCAATGCCAAGCGTCGGCTGGAGTGGTGTAAAGCTCGCCGCCATTGGACTCTGGAGCAGTGAAAGTGCGTTCTCTGGAGTGATGAATCACACTTCACCTTCTGGCAGTCTGACGGACTAATCTGGGTTTGGCAGATGCCAGGAGAACGCTACCTGCCCGAATGCATAATGCTAACTGTAAAGTTTGGTGGAGGAGGAATAATGGTCTGGGGCTGTTTTTCATGGTTTGGGCTAGACGCCTTAGTTCCAGTGAAGGGAAATCTTAACGCTACAGCATACAATTACATTCTAGACAATTCTGTGCTTCCAACTTTGTGGCAACAGTTTGGGGAAGGCTCTTTCCTGTTTCAGCATGAGATCGGTGTGGAAGAACTTGACTGGCCTGCACAGAGCCCTGACCTCATCCTCATTGAACACCTTTGGGATGAATTGGAATGCCGACTGCAAGCCAGGCCTAATCGCCCAACATCAGTGCCCGACCTCACTAATGCTCTTGTGGCTGAATGGAAGCAAGTCCCTGTAGCAATGTTCCAACATCTAGTGGAAAGCCTTCCCAGAAGAGTGGAGACTGTTATAACAGCAAAGGGGGGACCAACTCCATATTAATGCCCATGATTTTGGAATGAGATGTTCGACGAGCAGGTGTCCACGTACATTTGGTCATGTAGTGTATGTAGGGTTTAAAATGGCATGTGTATGTTACTTATTGAATTTGAAAATATCAGCCAAAAATAAAACAAGGCCATGGGATTAATGTATGACAAAAAAATTACACGCTTACTCCAACATCATCCAAATACCATTACCATCCAAAAGTGATCAGATCATACTCTATATACTCTTGGGACTAAATAAATGAAATCTAAAAGCAAACATGCAGCTAACCAACTGAAAATAAGCTCCTTTAGATGGACAGTGGAGGGAAGAGGGGTTTTTGTCTGAATTTGTCTAAAGAGCATTGCTACTTTCACTTCTTCTACAATGCCCTGCACAGCAGCCAAACTTTCAAAAGAAGACAGGCTATGTGCACACTGCCCACAAAATGATGTGGAAACTGAGCTGCACTTCCTAACCTCCTACTAAATGTATGACCATATTAGAGACACATATTTTCCTCAGATTACACAGACCCACAAAGAATTCCAAAACAAATCCAATTTTGATAAACTCCCATATCTATTGGGTGAAATACCACAGTGTGCCATCACAGCAGCAAGATTTGTGACCTGTTGCCACAAGAAAAGGGCAACCAGTGAAGAACTCTCTGTATACACCATTGTAAATACAACCCATATTTATGTTTATTTATTTTCCCTTTTGTACTTTAACTATTTGCACATCGTTATAACACTGTACATAGCCATAATATATGACATTTTAAATGTCTCTATTCCTTTGAAACTATTTTGATTGTAATGTTTACTGTTCCTTTTTTGATTGTTTATTTCACTTTTGTTTATTATATTTCACTTGCTTTGGCAATGTAAACATATGTTTCCCATGCCAATAAAGCCCTTTGAATTTAATTTAATTGCGAAAGAGAGAGAGAGAGAAAGAGAGCGAGAGAGACGGCAATGACCCTTCCTTGTGCAATTGCCTATAGGGATACGTGTCTTTTCAACTTGCAAGACAACTATAAATAAATGCCCAACAACACAATTGTAACGTCTCTGTCAGCAGAGCAGACGTTATTTACCGCTCTACTGGCGTCGTACCCTGCTGGGGCGCGAGTCCCCGTCAGACGGCTCTCCTATTGGTAGTGCGCAATCTAAAAGCGACAATAAATTCCTCGAGGTGCACTAACTTTTGCAGAATTTGTGTTATCTTCAGGCCATGGAGTGAGAACAAATTGGTGCATGCGCTCGAGGAAAAAAATACCTTAAATTAAACACTGTTGTATGTTGAGCGATTAATCAATACGGCAACATCTAAAACTCTACGCATCTGTATATTTAATCGAATTTATGATCTGAGGTGATGTCACATCTGTCGATGAGATGATTGAAGACCGTTCCTCAGTCCTGTCCCAAGCAACGTCTCTGACAACAACTCGGAGGAAGAAAGTTTCCTGCACCGTCAGCCAATCATTACGCACGCGGAAGAGCCGGTTCTGCCTCCTCTAAACCAATCACAGAGCCTGGATCACTGACGGGAAAGAAGTACAGCACAACTAATAACTGTTCCTCTGGGTTTTGACCATCTTCTCTCACTCTGAACGTGTGTCAACAACAACAGCGACAACAACATCACTTGCATGATTCTTGATGACATCGCAGATTCCCTCACGTATCCAAATGCCTCTCGACTGGTGAAAAAGCAACGCATAGCCGCACTCTTCAGAAGTCTACCTCCAGTTTTTCCTGGTTAGGTAACTTGGGCTCTTTTCTTCGGGAGGCGGGAGTGTTTTTTTTTCCTCCCGGGACGCTGGTTCCTGTCTAGTCCAGTGACTACCATATCAAGGCTAACCTTCCACGAATTGGAATACAGGGCATTTTTACTCAGAATTTCCCCCACTGGTCAAGCGCCATCGTCGGCAGCTCCCCGTTCTCCTCTCTGGCGGGAAGTTAGCTGAAGGCGTAGGGTTGTGGAGGTATGACTGCGTTGGCTGGGGCAATACCAAGGATGATGCGCCCTATGCTGGCTCAGAACTACCCCCACAGTGGTTTCCCACTGGAAGGTAAAATCAAAAGTCGAAACAACTTTTTGAGCACAGTTTGTGGGAAGATTTGGGCTTCGATGCGTAATAATTAAGGAGTGATTATTAATATAGGTTACTCTGTGAATTAAATTATGTAGCCTACCCCACAAGCCCCCCACCTTAACATAAACTTGGTCGTATCCAATTGTAATTTTTTTTAAAATAATACTTTGGGATTGACACGCTAAATTGAGAAGTAACACAATTAAAATGTAATGTTATTTTCATGTTTCATTTTTCATTTTTCAATGTTCTTTTCATTTCGGTTATCGGATGCATAGTGGATTGAACTGTTATCCTCGTCGTTATCATCTGGTTTGTTTTGTAGTCGTTATTGACATACCTTTTTGTATGTATCTATTTGTTTACAGGGGACTATTAATTTAAGTATTAATTGAATCATCTCCTAATCTCTGAAAACAAAGTATTTGTTTATTTACAGAATATTTACAGGGTCATATAAGTAGGCTATACACCTCTCTATATTACAACATAACATATAGTATCATTACATAAGGCAACTTTTAAGGCCTTTTATTGTTACCAAACCTTTCAGTTTAAACGACTTTTATTTGTAGTAGCCTTGTGGTGTTATTAGTAGCCTATGATGGAATCAATGTTAGTTGTTGTGTTGTAGGCCTATAGTTTATAATCATGAAGCCATCTGGTGACCATTTTGTGTTTTCTTTTACTCAGTCTCTACCCCGTTAGGCCAAGGCAGAATGAACCAGCTCGGGGGAGTGTTCATAAATGGCAGACCTTTGCCCAACCATATCCGCCATAAGATCGTCGAAATGGCCCACCATGGAATCAGGCCGTGCGTAATCTCCCGTCAGCTCCGCGTCTCTCACGGTTGCGTTTCCAAAATCCTCTGCCGGTACCAGGAGACCGGCTCCATCCGACCCGGGGCCATCGGGGGAAGCAAATCAAAGGTAAAAGAAAGGGAGCATGAGCAGCTCTATGACTGGCGAAAGTGTTGGGTTTTGTAATGTCATTCATTTTATTCTTCTCTTAAAACTGTTTTCTCGAGGTATGACATGTTGGGTTAAAATGTAACAAGCCACAGGTTGGGAAAGCATGTAAGAGGCCTATATTGTGTTGCTGAGTGCAAGTAGACAGTGTAAGTAGATATGAGCTGTTTATTATGCCTTCATTAATTAACGATGATATGATTTGTCGTTTCCTTAGCAGGGGACGACGCCTGATGTTGAGAAGAGAATAGAGGAGTACAAGCGGGACAACCCGGGTATGTTTAGCTGGGAGATTCGGGATAAATTACTGATGGATGGGATATGTGACCGGAACACCGTTCCATCAGGTAAAAGGAAACGTCTGCATTCTGTCATAATTGCTGCCCATTTAAATGGGTGCAATCTTCACCTGCAGCCGTAGATTGTTCATCATCATCATGGTCATCATCATCACCATCATCATCGTCTTATTTAACATAATGGGCCTAATGTATTTTCCTTCTCAATAACCACATTTTACCATAATAAAAAACAGTTTACTCTGAAACGTAAACAACTGCTGAAAACTATGGCTGCGGGAAATAATAACTGTTATAATATAATTGCCATGTTAAGTTTAAGTTAAGATATAATCATAACAATTATTGCAATGCAATTATCGACGCTAAAGTCAATATATTTTTTTAATGGTGCATCTGTTGATAACAAGTTCTATTTATTTGATGCTTTATCACGGTAGATTAGAAGAAAAAGTAAAAGCAAATGAGTGCAGATTGTTGAACTTTTATTTAGACTTTTCCTGTTGATTATTTATTAATCAGTGCTTTGTAATTTCTTCGAACACAGTGAGCTCTATCAGTCGCATCATGAGGAGTAAATTCGGAGTGAAGGGAGATGACGATGATGATGAAGATGAAATCGAGAAAAAGGAATTAGAAGAACACGAACGGCGGGCCAAACACAGCATCGAGGGCATTTTAGGAGACCGATGTGAGTGCAATCATAAATGAATATATAACACATTTTCTCTCTTCTATAGACAACTTGCGTGAGGCAGTTACTTGTTGCATAAAGGTGAAGGCCCTTCATACACAGGCCTAAATGCTTCCACTGTGCACTTTAATGTTCTTTGAAACGGTGAGGAAACCACTCGTTTATTCAAGTCAACAAAGATGGACAGATAAAGGTTTTCATCTTGTTTTGTGTAAGCTTACTGATTTTCAGAAATCATTCTTGATATGCTGACTCGGTGTTATTGGCTAGGCCTACATTTTCACCATGGGTGTCACCAGTCCTTACGGGTTGCCATTCATTTTTAGACTTTGTGAGGTAGATAGGCCTAGTCTGTCTTTTACTCTAAAACGTTTTAGTTGTTGTAAAGTTGTTGTTTTCGATGTGATGAAAGCACAGGGAGAGTGTCTTCCTTTGTCGACAGTCATAAAGTTCACTGGATTGTTTTGAATTCTTTATCGACCATATATCTCCTGCTAATGCTTGTCCCATGAGGCGTTACGATAATTCAAACAGCAGGTGATAGCTTTTGTGGGAAAGGGAGGATTGCCCCCTGTGTGTGTGTGTGAGTTTGAGAGAGAGAGAGAGAGATAATGAAAAAATGAAAAGTGAACGATTGTGTAACCACGCGTGCTTGCACAAAGTGGGCAACACACATGATATTTGTTACCGACAAAACGTAAGGGTCAGGCCTCGAATCAGTCGAATGTTCTTCATACAAAATATCCTATAGATTTATTCGAATAGCCTGTGCATATTCTACTTCTGCTACATGTATTTCCATTGTATTTATTTAATTGTTTATGCTAGACCACTTTGCTTGTATATAGGCTAGCCTTTACCTTGTAGGCCTACAGGCCTACTTTTTAAAATGTCTTTATCATACTAATAACATTGTTATTAGGCTTATACATACATTTTAATCGAGATGCACATAGCCCCGTTGTAATGTTTGAGGAAATATCCCTTATCAAAAGTATATAAAAAAGAACCAAAAAAGTTTTCAACCCCTAATTGTCATGGTGTATTTTAAACAAAGAAATCTCATAACATCCCTTTTTACGGTTTCCTACAATTTATTATGAACGAATTCGCAGGCCTATTCCATCTCAATGCAGCTGCTCTCTTTGCCCTACTGTAAAATGCAGGCACGGTGAAACAAATTAGAGGAAAAGACGGGGAGTTGGAGGAGACAAAACGTCCCAAATGAGTTGATCAAACATTTGTATAACAGTACCATCCCTCACAAAGCCAGGCCTCGAGCACACAATCGGACACTTGAGGATGAACTTGGGAGACAAAGGCGCGAGAGTCCATTGAGACTTACGCTTCGGTTACGCGCGGACAAAGCCTGGCTTCGCAGCAGCTTGGTCGCCATAAAAGAAGGCAACCTGTTTATAATTCAGTCAGAAAAGGAGAGGGAGCTTCCCAACAAAAGGCCGAGAAAATACATTATGAGCCCGCAATGAAGGATGAATTATTCAGGTCCGCCAATAGTCGCTGCTCCGGCTAGGTCTAGAGACTGTTCACCATGGAGAAATGGCCGTTTTTACCTACAAAATGTTTCTTTTGGAATCTTTTTAGGTCGTCTAAAGAAGCCGACTGCCATTCAGAACCTCTCAAGCCCTCTTTCACTCACTCACACGCACGCACGCACACACACACACACACACACACACACACACACACACACACACACACACACACACACACACACACACACACACACACACACACACACACACACACACACACAACTATAGTGTATAAGCCTAACTGATATTTAAAAAAAATACTTTCAAATCAGCTTAACACGCTGATTTAATGGCGAGATGAATTAAACTTATTGATAATGTGTTACTTTTCATTTTGGACATGCAGAGCATTGCCGACATAATGGTTTACGAAAATACTAACTTTTTGTGTATTATGTGCACTCAGGTTACACATTTTGTGCACACTCACATCTTTTACACAATGTTTAAAAGTTATAGTTTTTTTGTTGATGCGTCTGGTTCGTGATCTCAACACTTTTATATTAGCCTAAGTTTTTTAGTTAATGTAACTTAATAATTAATTTAGTCATGTTACAATTTCCAATGCCACAAGATAATACATTATATTTTCTGTGTAGCAGCCTCATATGAGGCTTTGACAAAATATTATATCTCATAAAATGACAAATATTTTCCAAAATATATGCATAGCTACTTGATGGTTATTAATAATTTAACTCATAGGCCTAATATATATATATATAACATTTATTTATTATTTTTATAAGTACAAATTGTTGCACAATATATTTTTCTTACCAATATAGGCCTAATGATATAAATGTACAATTGGCTAGTAACATGTCTTTCTGTATGGTCTATTATTAAGTCTTTGATGCCCTATTCTTGCCCTCTTAAACATTAATAATGTCTTCTAAATGATTTGATATTGTGCTATGTCACATTTAATGATCGAGGGAGTGTATTAAAGACTCCTTTGGTGAATGGGGACCAATGTTCTCCCCCGAGAGGCGCGCTTGGCCTCGAGCGGCGGTCACAATGGAACTCGCCACTCGTCATGCGCACTGCTGCAATACTCACCCATCATGCTCTCACCCCCTTCCGCTCTCAAAATCTCTTCAAGCGGATTAAATCGAGCCCTTTATTTCATGTTACTTTCATCCGGAGAGGGAACCCGCCCCTCTCCCTCGGTTTCCTTCTCTTTCTCTCTATGCCTGCGGCTCACATTAGTTTAATATATATGGTTCATTTTCAGGAGTGCAACCGCTAACAAAAGAAAGTCAGTTGTTGTAGAAAAGTCCCTAAAATTAAGTTGTCCGTTAAGCCAATGACCCCTCTGATATTTGTCTTTATTTGGTTGCCAATAAATGTCACATAGTTTTATTAATTCCAAAATGTAGGCTATAAATTAATAATAATAAGCCTAATAGAGTATCAGTTTCCGTTAGAAACGTTGTCCTGTGCTCATTCGGGCTCGCTATACGTCAGTCAGTTTGGTATCCTATTTCCATTCATATCTGTCAAGTGTTCATTTTACCCTAAGGGTTAACGAAAAATGTAAATGACTTTTGCCAGGACAATGCTTTGACTTGAAACGGGCACACTTAACGTTTGCACTAATATCAGTTGACTCTAACTAATGCATGGTTTAGGCTATTATGCGTAGGTAATGAGAGTTGTAATGACCGCACATTCCAAATTGGTTGGTGTTTGGTTCTGAGGACTAAGCTATTGTGGCACTGTAGAGATTGGCTTGTATGGGATGCCAGCAACGTAATTTCTCGACCTTTTTTAAAGGACTTTTTGTTTTTTCGAGACCTGTGGTGTCCACTATTTTCGTGCGTTTTTTCAGTCAGGCCTCATTTGGAATGTTGTTTTTATAACCGCAATTACAATCTGAAAATGACTTTTTTTCAGCCAAGCGGGTCAAACATTGATGAAGTAGATGTTTGTTGAGACCATCGTTGTGCGAGGGAGGAGCACTAGTTGAGCCCCTGGTCGTTCAGAATTCATTGTCGTTTCCCTTAAGTGTCCACATCAAAGGCAGCTCGTTTGGATTTATTTGTCTATGGAAAAAAACAACTGAAATGTGTTTCGGAAATCTCAAGCACCCTAAATTGCAGTCTCGTGTCCCATCGTGACGCGCAAGTATTTCCTCACGCGCCAAATGTGCTTGGAATAAATGCTCGTGCAGTTTGACTTGAAAGTATACAGTAGGGCAGGCTATCTTTCTCAATTCATGTGTCAGAGAAAATCATTTCCACTTAGAATTACAATAGTTGAAACACATTTCTGCCACTCTTTAGAAAATACTTTTCCATATGTCTAGTCAGTGCTCCAGTCTCACTATATGCCTACTGTGCATATTTGCTAATTTGGCACAGTTCCTGCATAACCATTAGCAGGGGTTGGATATAGTAGTTGCTCTGCCTTCCAGAATCTAAAAGGCTAACATTGAGTTAATTAACCCTAGAAATGGAGCTAATGATTGATAATGTACATAGCGGCCCTCCCCTCTCTCCTCCTCTCTCATATTTCCAGTGTATCTTCTTAACCTTACTTCGCTAATTAAAATTAGCCTGAATAACACTGATGATACATACAGAGGAGCCTTGTTGGACCAGCACATTTCCATTTATACCCACACACACACAAATTCCCCATCTGAAAGACGAACAGTCAAAGGGGGATAACTTTATTTTGTGAAAGGGACTCCTGGAAAGGGCTAATTGAATAAGTCTGGGATCTTTGAAAACCTGCCATGGTGAGCGCAGTCATCATGTCATAATTAGGTTTATTGAGGCGCATTCTGCCAATCTGCTGCCATTCTCCCAGCCTCATTGTGCCCAGAGCCAGGCCAATAGCTGTAGGACAAAAGGGAACCAAGAGCTGACAATACATGAAAGGGCCAAAAGATTTAGCTGCTTTTGTCACAGAAACTGAGCAGGACTTTGTTTGTGTAAATAAAGTTGAGGATCTTGGGGTCCCCTGCTACTCAGGCAAAAGCTGGAGCTTCTATACAATTGAATATGTGGGCACACACTGGATTAGTGCCCGGAGGAGAGAGGGAGGGAGGGAAAGAGGGAGAGAGGAGGAGAGGGAGAGAGAGGGGGAGCGAAGAGAGTGAGCGAGGAAGAGAGATGGGAGAGGGGGGTAAAAGAGAAGGGTTTGAGAGAGTATTAGGGGTTAGGTTTGTGTATTTAGTGTGTGAGTGTTTGCAGAGTTATGTTCTGCATGGCTTCTGATGTTTGATTTGTGATGTTCATCATTGTCTTACAGTGGTATTGGAAGAGGGAGGGTGGTGAAGAGTGGTGAGATGAGGGTTTGCTAAGAGGCATTGAAGTTGGAAACCCTATACTGTAGCATAGATCCATGGTCAAGTTCCCATATCACCTTCCAATATACATCATATTGTTCCGGTTCTTATGTATTAAGGTGTTAAAGATGCTGCCTGCTGAGAATCACTTACCTTCACGGATTCA